TAGTTCCTTTGTATAATGGAAAAAGGGATAAAAGAGTGTAAGAATTGTAGGGAAATAAGTCTGTTGCATATATGTACTGGGTAAAGTGTATGGATGACTGTCAATAAACTTACACTTAATATAGACAAAACCTTTTACATTATGTTTGGGAATAAAGCAAGTGAGGTCCAACTAAACATTATGTTTAACATCCTTATCATTAAACATAAAGAGGGAAAATTTCTGGGTCTGCACCTTGACAGCAACTTGAAATTCAATACCCATATCCAACACATAAAAAAAAAAAGCATCTAAAACAGTTGGCATCCTCTCAAAGATACATTACTATGTACCACAAAAAGCACTACTTACATTATACTATTCTACCTCACCTATGCTATTTTTGCCTGGGGTTCCACAATGATAAATCACCTAAAGCCAATAATAACCCAACAAAAAAGCTGCATTGCAAATGATCACACAATCCACTGCTAGACAACACTCTCCCCCCCTCCCCCTACTCTTCAAAGACCTAAACCTACTCACTATACAAAACATTCACTCGTATTACTGTGCAATCTACATTTACAGAACGATCAATTTTAATATAAATCCCGACCTGAAGCACTTTCTTGACAATTGCAATAGGACCCATAGACACAATACTAGGCACAAAAATCTCTGACATTCCCCATGTCAGGCTAAATCTTTTCAAAAACTCAATGTACATAAAAGGGCCCAAAATCTGGAACTCTCTGCCAAAAATCTCCAGAGCCACTGGCTCACCTAGAATTTTTAGAACTACAGTTAAAAAACACCTTATCTTCTTAACCTATCCCAGCTCATCATAAATACAAACTAAAAACTATACATGCTTTGCTCAATATCATGATCATAGGTAAAACATCATAATCAATATGTATATACTTACTCTCAATATCTGTAAGCCTCTCAAATGTTAATCGTTCCACTGTGTCCACCTTAGATTAATAATCAAAATTGTAATTCTTCCCTACCAAACTTATTAAAGCCATACAGTATGAGCTAATAGAATATTCAATTCTCTTGTATTCATTGTAACTCACCTAATAACCTTATGTACAAAATTAACCTTAAGTTTGCCTGAAATTCTCTGCATATAAAGGGGCTTTTGGCATGTACACCTAATTGTTATACTCCTTTGTACATGTATCATGCTGAAATAAAATTATTATTATTATTATTATTAAAGAGTTAAGGGTAACACTGCAGAGGAACAGGTAGTTTTAGGAAGAGAAGAGGATGTATAGACTGAGTGTTTACATTGAAGTATGTAAGTAGACAATTCTTAAATAAAGGTAAGGAGCTCTTTGTTGGATTTATGATTATAGAAAAGACATATGATAGAGTGGATAGAGAAACATTATGACAGATGTTGTAAATATATGGAATACCTGGAGTTTACCTGGAGAGAGTTCCGGGGGTCAACGCCCCCGCGGCCCGGTCTGTGACCAGGCCTCCTGGTGGATCAGAGCCTGATCAACCAGGCTGTTACTGCTGGCTGCACGCAACACTAATGTACGAGACACAGCCCGGCTGATCAGGAACCGACTTTAGGTGCTTGTCCAGTGCCAGCTTGAAGACTGCCAGGGGTCTGTTGGTAATCCCCCTTATGTATGCTGGGAGGCAGTTGAACAGTCTCGGGCCCCTGACACTTATTGTATGGTCTCTTAACGTGCTAGTGACACCCCTGCTTTTCATTGGGGGGATGTTGCATCGTCTGCCAAGTCTTTTGCTTTCGTAGTGAGTGATTTTCATTTGCAAGTTCGGTACTAGTCCCTCTAGGATTTTCCAGGTGTATATAATCATGTATCTCTCCCGCCTGCATTTCAGGGAATACAGGTTTAGGAACCTCAAGCGCTCCCAGTAATTGAGGTGTTTTATCTCCGTTATGCGCGCCGTGAAGGTTCTCTGTACATTTTCTAGGTCAGCAATTTCACCTGCCTTGAAAGGTGCTGTTAGTGTGCAGCAATATTCCAGCCTAGATAGAACAAGTGACCTGAAGAGTGTCATCATGGCTTGGCCTCCCTAGTTTTGAAGGTTCTCATTATCCATCCTGTCATTTTTCTAGCAGATGCGATTGATACAATGTTATGGTCCTTGAAGGTGAGATCCTCCGACATGATCACTCCCAGGTCTTTGATGTTGGTGTTTCGCTCTATTTTGTGGCCAGAATTTGTTTTGTACTCTGATGAAGATTTAATTTCCTCGTGTTTACCATATCTGAGTAATTGAAATTTCTCATCGTTGAACTTCATATTGTTTTCTGCAGCCCACTGAAAGATTTGGTTGATGTCCGCCTGGAGCCTTGCAGTGTCTGCAATGGAAGACACTGTCATGCAGATTCAGGTGTCATCTGCAAAAGAAGACACGGTGCTGTGGCTGACATCCTTGTCTATGTCGGATATGAGGATGAGGAACAAGATGGGAGCGAGTACTGTGCCTTGTGGAACAGAGCTTTTCACCGTAGCTGCCTCGGACTTTACTCTGTTGACGACTACTCTCTGTGTTCTGTTAGTGAGGAAATTATAGATCCATCGACCGACTTTTCCTGTTATTCCTTTAGCACGCATTTTGTGCGCTATTACGCCATGGTCACACTTGTCGAAGGCTTTTGCAAAGTCTGTATATATTACATCTGCGTTCTTTTTGTCTTCTAGTGCATCTAGGACCTTGTCGTAGTGATCCAATAGTTGAGACAGACAGGAGCGACCTGTTCTAAACCCATGTTGCCCTGGGTTGTGTAACTGATGGGTTTCTAGATGGGTGGTGATCTTGCTTCTTAGGACCCTTTCAAAGATTTTCATGATATGGGATGTTAGTGCTATCGGTCTGTAGTTCTTTGCTGTTGCTTTACTGCCCCCTTTGTGGAGTGGGGCTATGTCTGTTGTTTTTAGTAACTGTGGGACGACCCCCGTGTCCATGCTCCCTCTCCATAGGATGGAAAAGGCTCGTGATAGGGGCTTCTTGCAGTTCTTGATGAACACGGAGTTCCATGAGTCTGGCCCTGGGGCAGAGTGCATGGGCATGTCATTTATCGCCTGTTCGAAGTCATTTGGCGTCAGGATAACATCGGATAGGCTTGTGTTAACCAAATTCTGTGGCTCTCTCATAAAAAATTCATTTTGATCTTCGACTCTCAGTCTGGTTAGCGGCTTGCTAAAAACTGAGTCATATTGGGGCTTGAGTAGCTCACTCATTTCCTTGCTGTCATCTGTGTAGGACCCATCTTGTTTAAGTAGGGGCCCAATACTGGACGTTGATCTCGACTTTGATTTGGCATAGGAGAAGAAATACTTAGGGTTTCTTTCAATTTCATTTATGGCTTTTAGTTCTTCCCGCGATTCCTGACTCCTATAAGATTCCGTTAGCTTAAGTTCGATGCTTGCTATTTCTATGACCAGTGTCTCCCTACGCATTTCAGATATATTGACCTCTTTTAGCCGCTCTGTTATTCTTTTCCGTCGCCTGTAAAGGGAGCGCCTGTCTCTGTCTATTTTACATCTACTCCTCCTTTTTCTTAGAGGAATAAGCCTTGTGCATACATCGAGTGCCACCAAGTTAATCTGTTCTAGGCATAAGTTGGGGTCTGTGTTGCTTAGTATATCTTCCCAGCTTATATCGGTTAGGACTTGGTTTACTTGGTCCCATTTTATGTTTTTTTTATTGAAGTTGAATTTGGTGAATGCTCCCTCGTGTCTAATCTCATTATGTCGGTCTGGGGCTCCACGCATACATGACTGAACCTCAATTATGTTGTGATCTGAGTATATTGTTTTTGATATGGTGACATTTCTTATCAGATTATCATTGTTAGTGAAGATGTCTAGTGTATTCTCCAGTCTAGTAGGCTCTATTATTTGCTGGTTTAAATTGAATTTTGTGCAGAGATTTAAAAGCTCGCGTGAGTGTGAGTTTTCATCAGAGCTGCCTCCTGGTGTTATTACTGCAACAATATTATTTGCTATATTCCTCCATTTTAGGTGCCTTAAGTTGAAATCCCCCCAGGAGCAAGATGTTGGGTGCAGGAGCTGGAAGGTTTTCCAGACAGTGGTCAATTTTTAACAGCTGTTCCTGGAATTGCTGGGATGTTGCATCCGGAGGCTTGTAGACTACCACAATGACTAGGTTTTGGTTCTCGACCTTTACTGCTAAAACTTCCACTACATCATTTGAGGCATTTAGCAGTTCTGTGCAAACAAGTGACTCTGCAATGTACAGGCCAACCCCCCCCTTTTGCCTGTTCACTCTGTCACATCTGTATAGGTTGTAACCTGGGATCCATATTTCGTTGTCCAAGTGATCCTTTATGTGGGTCTCAGTGAAAGCCGCGAACATTGCCTTTGCCTCTGCAAAGGCCTCTGCATAGGCATAAGATAAGATAAGATTTTGTTCGGATTTTTAACCCCGGAGGGTTAGCCACCCAGGATAGCCCAAGAAAGTCAGTGCGTCATCGAGGACTGTTTAACTTATTTCCATTGGGGTCCTTAATCTTGTCCCCCAGGATGTGTCCCACACCAGTCAACTAACACCCAGGTACCTATTTGCTGCTAGGTGAACATGACAACAGGTGTAAGGAAACGTGTTGAAATGTTTCCACCCGTCGGGAATCGAACCCGGGCCCTCCGTGTGTGAAGTGGGAGCTTCAGCCACCAGGCCACAGGGCCACCCGAGGCAAGGAGACGTATGGCAGTCTTGGACAAAGATGTATGGGTGTCTGGGGGCAAGGAGACATATGGGTGTCTGAGGGAAGGAGATGGGAGTCTTGGGCAATGAGACATGCACCTGCTGTCCATTACCATCTACAACTATATTTACCCCAGCAAAAATGTCTCAGTGTTGGACTTTATTGGACCTTCCTTAGTTAAATCTATATATATTGTAGTACTTTGCGTCTATAACAGCTGTATGGTCTCAGGGCCACTGTAAGAAAAAAAAATTAACGAGAAGTATGCAAGACCTAAATAATAATAATAACTTACTTAGGTTAGTCTGGTGTTATGCAGCACTTCCTGGGAAAAAAGGACCTAGGCCCTCAGGAAAAATAAGCCACTGAGTGGCTTTTTTGGGGGGGTTATTATTCCTCCCGAGTTAGTAACCCGAATAAAGTCCGCTCTATTAAATACTTCGAAATTCTTGTATAAACAAGGACCCCAATGGAAATAAGTCACTCTGTCTGACTTTTTTGGGTTATCCTAGGTTCTCTACACATATGCTGCTATGTATGATAATTCTATGTAACTGTATTGTGTATACCTGAATAAATTTACTTACTTACTTACTTACTTACTTACACACGTCCGGCAAAACTCATGTGTCAAATTGTTTGTGCTCGCTTAATATAGTAATACTGAGATATATGGCTCGCTTTCCTTTGAATATTACCCAATTTGTTTTACAATATATATATATATATATATATATGATTCTTTTTGCTTTAATTAACATTTATCTTATATTTAATAAATATCAATAATCAAAATATTATACAATTCATGATATATAATATAAATATATATTTAAATGGTAGTATATTTTATTAATATATATGAGTTGTATATTACTTGGATTACTTTTATTTCTTATGTAATTAATATAGAAATATATTTAAAACTAAAATTAATAATATATGTTATGCACTGCGTATATAGATTGTTATATTAATACACATCAATATATTTTAAAGTACCATAATTTTTTATTATCATGCGTACCTGAATTTCTCATTACACTTTACAACTGTTACTATAAAACAATACTTCTTATCTTTAAACTTAAACTGTCAATGGAAATCATGTATCTGTGTTAGCAGTCTTGTATCGCTTATTATTTCTGCTGTTTAAAAAATCTATCAATAACCAGCTGTGACAACATGGCTACAATAATGTATGGGAACATATTTTATATAAGATTCAGTGTATCACTTGATACCTATTTTCTAAATGCTAAGATAAGATATAATTGATTTAACCTAAATATACACAATGTAAGCACTCTAGCGATTTTACAGTTCAATCATACACCGACTATAAGTACATTAAAGCTACCCATATTTCTTTTATCATTGGCGCTACCCTGAAGTTTCCTGCACTCAGCTACAACTGTTACTAAACCAATACTTCCCTGTATCCCTTCTAAACTTAAACTGTCCAACTGGAAGTCATTGTTAGTCCTGTGTTAGCAAGGCTCTTGTAATACAGCGATATTTCAGCTGTTCAAAGTGCTATCAATAGCCACCCATTGGACTGTCGACAACAGGGCCATAATGTATGTGGAAACAATTTAATATAAGTTCAGTGTACATAACATACAAATTTTTAACAGGCACAGAGAGCATTATATTGATTTAACCTAAGATAACCAAGTAAACTCAAACCCCATTGGGCATGTATCCTTACACTTGCCGTCAGATAACCTGGAGTTTGTTAGGTAAGACACATATGCAACAGTTAGGTATCTTTATTTCGAAACGTTTCGCCTACACAGTAGGCTTCTTCAGTCGAGTACAGAAAAGTTGATAGAAGCAGAAGATACTTGAAGACGATGTAATCAGTCCATCACCCTTAAAGTTTTGAGGTGGTCAGTCCCTCAGTCAGGAGAAGAGCATTGTTCCATGGTATGAAACAATATGGAGATGAAGTGACAGGATGGAGCCTTATATAGCGCCAGGAGGTGAGACGTAGGTCACTAGGAGAGGTAAGAACTCAGATGTTGGGAGGACAGGTCCCTCTCAAATCCAGCCGTTCTCACTAGTAGAGGTTGTCGAAGTTGATTGTAGGTCTGTACCAAGATACCCTTGTGTTGCAGTGTCAGACAGATTGAACATTAAAATGGTATAAAATACCGACAGGTTGTTAGGTAAGACACATATGCAACAGTTAGGTATCTTTATTTCGAAACGTTTCGCCTACACAGTAGGCTTCTTCAGGCGCTATATAAGGCTCCATCCTGTCACTTCATCTCCATATTGTTTCATACCATGGAACAATGCTCTTCTCCAGACTGAGGGACTGACCACCTCAAAACTTTAAGGGTGATGGACTGATTACATCGTCTTCAAGTATCTTCTGCTTCTATCAACTTTTCTGTACTCGACTGAAGAAGCCTACTGTGTAGGCGAAACGTTTCGAAATAAAGATACCTAACTGTTGCATATGTGTCTTACCTAACAACCTGTCGGTATTTTATACCATTTTAATGTTCAATCTGTCTGACACTGCAACACAAGGGTATCTTGGTACAGACCTACAATCAACTTCGACAACCTCTACTAGTGAGAACGGCTGGATTTGAGAGGGACCTGACCTCCCAGCATCTGAGTTCTTACCTCTTCTAGTGACCTACGTCTCACCTCTTGGCGCTATATAAGTGCTCCATCCTGACATGTCCCTAGGACAGCTCTCCACCGGGCTGCTAACGGAGTCACTGGCTTCTTGGACCTCTTGGGGAGGGTCGATGGTGCTCGTGCAAGCAGCAGATCCCGGGGCAACTTGCTGCTGTTTGCAATGGCTGTCTGCTGAGGAGAGACAGGCACCTAGCAACATCTGTTGGGGCAATGGATGAATTCCCTACTATGTTTGTTAATTGCTCATTACTCTGTAATTTGTCTATGATTGTAATCATGTCATAACGTGTTTATCATTCATTACCTTTGAAACTTGTCATGATTGTGACCAGCTCTACCTGGAGCTCATTACCTTTGTAAATTCTCATGATTAATGTGTTTATGATTCATTACTTTTGCAATTATTCATGAGTGTGACCAGCTCAACCTGGAGCTCATTACCTTTGTAACTTGGTCATGATTATGACCAGATCTAGTTCATTACCTTTGTAACTTGCTCATCTATCAAAACTTTGGAGTCCAGTCCCTGGACCAATTATGTACCTCTGTAATCTTTTGACTACCGCCCACAGGATGGGTATGGGGTGCATAATAAACATATTAAACTAAACATCCTATCACTTCATCTCCATATTGTTTCATTCCATGGAACAATGCTCTTCTCCAGACTGAGTGACTGACCACCTCAAAACTTTAAGGGTGATGGACTGATTACATCGTCTTCAAGTATCTTCTGCTTCTATCAACTTTTCTGTACTCGACTGTAGAAGCCTACTGTGTAGGCGAAACGTTTCGAAATAAAGATACCTAACTGTTGCATATGTGTCTTACCTAACAACCTGTCGGTATTTTATACCATTTTAATGTTCAATCTGTCAGACACTGCAACACAAGGGTATCTTGGTACAGACCTACAATCAACTTCGACAACCTCTACTAGTGAGAACGGCTGGATTTGAGAGGGACCTGACCTCCCAGCATCTGAGTTCTTACCTCTTCTAGTGACCTACGTCTCACCTCTTGGCGCTATATAAGTGCTCCATCCTATCACTTCATCTCCATATTGTTTCATTCCATGGAACAATGCTCTTCTCCAGACTGAGGGACTGACCACCTCAAAACTTTAAGGGTGATGGACTGATTACATCGTCTTCAAGTATCTTCTGCTTCTATCAACTTTTCTGTACTCGACTGAAGAAGCCTACTGTGTAGGCGAAACGTTTCGAAATAAAGATACCTAACTGTTGCATATGTGTCTTACCTAACAACCTGTCGGTATTTTATACCATTTTAATGTTCAACCTGGAGTTTACCTGGAGAGTGTTCCGGGGGTCAACGCCCCCGCGGCCCGGTCTGTGACCAGGCATCATGGTGGATCAGAGCCTGATCAACCAGGCTGTTACTGCTGGCTGCACGCAATCCAACGTACGAGCCACAGCCCGGCTGGTCAGGTACCAACTTTAGGTTTACCTAGAGTTTACCTGGAGAGAGTTCCGGGGGTCAACGCCCCCGCGGCCCGGTCTGTGACCAGGCCTCCTGGTGGATCAGAGCCTGATCAACCAGGCTGTTGCTGCTGGCTGCTCGCAAACCAACGTACGAGCCACAGCCCGGCTGATCAGGAACTGACTTTAGGTGCTTGTCCAGTGCCAGCTTGAAGACTGCCAGGGGTCTGTTGGTAATCCCCCTTATGTGTGCTGGGAGGCAGTTGAACAGTCTCGGGCCCCTGACACTTATTAGTGACACCCCTGCTTTTCATTGGGGGGATGGTGCATCGTCTGCCAAGTCTTTTGCTTTCGTAGCGAGTGATTTTCGTGTGCAAGTTCGGTACTAGTCCCTCTAGGATTTTCCAGGTGTATATAATCATGTATCTCTCCCTCCTGCGTTCCAGGGAATACAGGTTTAGGAGCCTCAAGCGCTCCCAATAATTGAGGTGTTTTATCTCCTTCATGCGCGCCGTGAAAGTTCTCTGTACATTTTCTAGGTCGGCAATTTCACCTGCCTTGAAAGGTGCTGTTAGTGTGCAGCAATATTCCAGCCTAGATAGAACAAGTGACCTGAAGAGTGTCATCATGGGCTTGGCCTCCCTAGTTTTGAAGGTTCTCATTATCCATCCTGTCATTTTAGGTGATAAGATTTTCTTCGGATTTTTAACCCTGGAGGGTCAGCTACCCAGGATAACCCAAGAAAGTCAGTGCGTCATCGAGGACTATTGGGGTCCTCAATCTTGTCCCCAGGATGCGACCCACACCAGTCGACTAACACCCAGGTACCTATTTACTGTTAGGCGAACGTGACAACAGGCGTAAGGAAACGCGTCGAAATGTTTTTACCCCACCGGGAATCGAACCCGCGCCCTGCGTGTGAAGCGAGAGCTTTAGCCACCAGGGCACTTATTCACCTAGCAGTATACTGCATTAAGGCTGCCGAAATGCTCTCCATAAAAAGGTCTCTCTGTAAGATAATTTATTTCACTTAATGCAATGTTAGTTTAATTAGTTTAATATGTTTATTATGCACCTCATACCCATCCTGTGGGCGGTAGTCAAAAGATTACAGAGGTACATAATTGGTCCAGGGACTGGACTCCAAAGTTTTGATAGCTGAGCAAGTTACAGAGGTAATGAACTCACAATTTACAAAGGTAATGAACTCACAATTTACAAAGGTAATGAACTCCAGGTAGGTCTGGTCACAATCATGACAAGTTACAAAGGTATTTACAGATAATGCAATGTCAATGGTATACTGTACTTCACTTTACAGAAATAAAGTTGTTCGTTTGTTTGTCGAGCCACTATATACAGCCTATTTCCGGTGAGGTCCTTGATGATCTTTTCCAGGATGCAACCCACAACAGTCTGCTAATACCGAGGTACCTACTAACTA